CTCAGCAGACAATCATAAAACGGTTGCAAAACTGTTGAGTCTGCTGAACGCAGCCAATGGCATTCTTGCCTGATTTTAGCAGTGCTCAGAACAATGCACAGGCATAGCCACGTGCTGTATGTAAACACGGCTTAAATGAGGTTTTGAATGAACGCGGAAGGTTTAATTATACACATTTATTCAATTTAATAACTTGCGTGTAAAGATATGTTTGTTAATCAAGAAAGAATAAATAGTGTATGTACAGCGAACGTAAAAATCTGTAGGAAAATTTATGGATCTTTGTCTCAATAAGAACAAATGCAGAGAACCCTTTGATCTAATGCCGGATTGAATATATATCACGTAAATCGTTTATTTACAATTTATTGTGTGCAATAATGGAAGTGAATGACGATTCATCGACACCTCAAGATAGTAATACGTAAGTGTAAGCTTCTATTATAAGTGTACAAATATACGATTACGAGGAAAAACTACAATGCAATAAATGCAATCAATGTACAATTGAGACTTAAAGCATAATGTTTTTAAGTAATAACAAAAATAATTTTGTATAATGATTTAGTACTCTTATCGCAACTTTATTCATTGTAACAATAAAATATTTTTAACATATATGTTAAACTAACTTTGAAGGTTAAAGGCCAATTTTAAAGGTTAATGAATTATTTTTAAGTTTTTATTGCAAGATGATGAAATAGAAAAGTGCATTTTGACAACAAATATTTCCTATTGTAGGATAACTGTATCAGATTCGGTATGGAAGTTTATCAACAATCCTATAATAACGATATTCTCGGATTTGGAAAATCCTCCGACAGAACAGATGCTCTGTTCTCTTCTCGAATCTTTATTGAAGAGATCTTCTACTTTAACCACTGTATTAGTCCCACCATTTAGTAATGGTACAGCAGATATTACTGTACAGCAACAATTTGCAGGTAGCATATTTGTATAAAAATGTAGCATACTATCAAAAACTGTATTTGATAATATATTATTGTATATGTTGTTAGCATTCACAACTTGGTTATTTGGCACAATGTTCTATTTGATCTGCAAACATTCAAGCGATGTGGTGCTTTCAAATAGTATTGAAGTACAAGCTTGTATGCTCAGAATATTATCAAGGCATCATGTGGCAATGTTTCAGACCATTACTTCGGAATACCTAAGTATATTGGATGGTACGTAATAATAAATCAACAGTAAATATGAAATAAAAACTTGAAATATATTTACTGATAATAAAATTTACAAAACATTTTCTCTACACAGAGATATTAGAATTTTATATGAGTGCTGCAGAAGAAATGACTCTGTCAAAGTTTCATACGGAAAAGGATATTATAGAGAATTTGGACTTGACACCGTTTCCTGCAAAGATTAAATCTTCAGATGTGCCATCAATTCAATCATCTTTATTAAAGGTTTTGCTTTTCCAACTCATAGATTTTTTAATAAAAAATTCTCTGACACTCATTGAGTTCAATAACAATGATATTTGTATTGATAGATAATTGCAAAAGCTGGTGTTTCAGTATGGGATGAAGTAAAGTTATGGAATAGAATTATGACAATCGTAATCAATTCTTCTCCAAGTCTGAAGATTGAAGCATTACAATTGCTTACAGAAATAATAGAAAATCATATTGTTCATGATAATGTAAGTGAATGAAGTTTTAATTATAAAATTAATTAAATAAAGTTTGTGTTGTATGTTAAGATGTTGTATTTGGATTTTTTAGGAACAAAGAACCATAATTATGTATACCCTAGAAATAGTGAAAAGTCTTCCAACTTGGATTAATTCAGATCTATTATCAATACATATGATGTCTCAATTTGCAGAAACATTGATACGTTTAATACAATCATCACATGTTTCTCTTAATACAACAGACTTGTGTTTTCAAGTTATTGATTTTATAGCTTTAGAATTTGTTAGTAAGTATTGCATTCTATTTTATTTCAATTTATTCAAATTCGTCTTATACATTGTATAAATTGTTATATTTTTTCCAGCGTACAACGTTAAAATTGAAGCGATAAAAAAATTAGAAGAAGCAGCATGTTATATGATTAAACAATATTTAATTGTAAAACCACGGTCCTGTACCACTTCAGAAGCTAAAAAATTCTTGGCTCAGTTCATACATTGTCCAGTCTGTAACAGTTGTATATGTTTTATAAAACTACTTTGTTTTTTATTTTAAAATTATGCATTATTTCTATTTTTAATAATTTGTTTTTATTTTAGACTGTTATTGAGATTTTTATGCAATTTGTTTTTATCGATATTCAACGGGCCGTTGAACCAGATAAAATTATTCTTGCAACAGAGATCAGCGAGCCATGGAAATTACTAAAAACAGAATTAGTGAATCTTATGGAGGCTGAAAAATTTACAGAAGTTTTACATATTGTTAAAGCGTCATCTTTATTACAATTGTGGCTAGAAAACCAGAAAATTCAAGTAAAACTATATGAGAACGACTTAAATGCCATATTAAAGATTCTCATACAAAACTTAAATTCTGATAGATGTCAAAATGAGCAAATTATTTTTCAAATTTTAATGAATTTAATGGCTCACAATGAATCGAATAAAGTAATATTGCAATCAATATTAGCATTGCCATTTACTCAAGATTTTAAAGGATCTATGGATATCAGTAAAAAAATGGTGCAACGAGCAAAATCTCTTGATATGAAAACAATGTCAGAGTGCCTTGAAACCTTATGCATACATGGCAATGGAAAGGAAAGATTGAAATTACTACGTACATGTATATTAAATAGTGATACGCAAATAGCTGTTACAGCAGTGTCGTAAGTGTTCTTATATGTGTCATATGTTTTTAATGTCATATATATATATATATACTTACACACACACACACAGGGTATCCAGAATGACCGTCAAATATTCAGACCATCAGCACATTTTGTGTGCTAGTAGAACGAATTAAATTGAGTCGAAAAATTCTCTATCATTTTGCAATTTTTGTAATAGTTAACAAGATGTTAATTACTAAAAAAAATCGCTGAATATCGGTTTTCAATAATTTTTTACTCAAATACTATCAACTTTACAGAAAAACAGCAAATGACAAAAATTGTTTATTTTCTTCTCATAGAGTTCTGAGAATTTTTTTCAAAATTTTTTAGTACTACATGTTTCTCATGTTGGTAAAAATATTGGGTTGAAGGAAAAGTTCTGCGGTAATTTTGTTAGCTCAAAATTATATATACAATATCTTTGTTAAAAATAATGAAAATTTAAATTTAAAAAAGGATTTTAAAGCTTTTGAAATCTCTACTTTCGAATGGTTACTATATTTTTTGAATTTATGTGAGTTGTAATTTTTATATATATAGAAAACTACGAGCTGGAAAAAAGAGAAATTTTTCTTCTCACTTTGTGGGTCTGTCACGTGCCAAAAAAAATGCGAAAATTTTCTACTATCTATATTGTGAAAGTTTGGAATTTTCCTTACAAAATCGTTTTTTAAAAATGTTTCTACGATTTTTTGTTCTTGAGTTATTCGCGAGTTAAATAAAAAGAAGCATTCGAACTTTGATTGCTCGTTTAAAAATTATCGTACTACAATTAAAAAAACAAATTCTTAAAGCTGAAACGGTGCTCTATCGAATAGTATCATGCTAATTTTTTAAATGTAAAATATATAGAAATTCGAGTTAAAAATGTGATATTATTATCCTTATAACTATTGCGCAATGGAAAAAAAGGACAGTAATAACACATTTTTAGCTCAAATGTACATATATTTTATTTTTTTTTAATTGGCAATTACACTATTTGATAGAGCAACGTTTCAGCTTTAAGAATCTGTTTTATTAATTACGATACGATGATTTTTAACGGAGTTATGAGCAATCAAAATCAGAATGCTCTTTTATTTAATCCGCATGTAACTTGATGTAACAAAAAGTAGGAACATTTTTTAAAAACAAACTTTTAGGAAAAACTTTAAGCTTTCACGTCAGATAGTCGAAAATTTCGCAACAAATATATTCTGTATATAATTTTGAGTTAACAGAATTCCGCAAAACTTTTTCTCTACAACCCAATAGTTGCCAATAAGAAAATACAGTACTAAAAAGTTGATAAAAAATTCTGAAAAAATTCTTAGAGCTCTATAAGAAGATAATAAACAATTTCTGTCTCTTGCTGTTTTTTTGTAAAGTTGATAGTACTTGAGTAAAGAATTATTGAAAACCAACATTCAGCGATTTTTAGTAATTAATATCCTGTTAATTATTGCAAAAATTGCAAAATGGTAGTGGACTTTTCGACTCAGTTTAGTCTGCTCTACCAGCACACGAAATATTTGACAATCATTCTGGGACTCTCTGTATATACACGCATATCTTTTAATTGTAAAATTATGTCCCAATATAGACACAGTATATTATTGTTGAATAATGCAAACATAAAATTAGAAGATGTTTGTCAATATGTTTTAAATACTGCCTTATGTTCGACGAAAATAGAAATACATGAAGCTCTTGTAAATGTCTTGGGTCAAGTAGCTTGTGTCTCATCAGGAAAAGGAAGAATTATTTTATTAAGGTATTTTGTTAGTATGTAGTTCATATTTGTGAAATAATGAAATAACTAATAGCACTCTTATCTTTAGCGAATCATTAAATAACAGAAAATGGAGGATATACTGTGAATGTTGTATAGAGGATGTAAAAAAAGATGTCGAATCCAATATGCATTATCTGCCAAGGGACTATGATCATATTTTTAATGCATATTTTAAACTACTTTCCTCTACCGACGTTTCCATACGTTTGAATATTTCTAAAAGTATTCTTTCTTTTTCAAATCACATAAAATCATTTAATTCAAATGAGATAACAAAGAAATGGATTCCTTATATACACGATGAAAATGATGAGATTCGGTCGAATATTGCATCGATAATCGGGCAATTATTAAGTAATAAGATCGCTATGTTGGAAAATGACAATGAACGTTTGCCAGATTCTGTACCAGATGATTTGGACGAGTATGTTGATCTAGTAATTAATGTTATAGCCAATACGCTTATGACTGCATTGAACACTTTCAACCATTCCTTACACGATACCTTACTTGCCACTGCAAAAAATTTCGTATGGTAAGATATGGGGAATATTTAATAGTGCAAATATTAATTCCTGTAAATATTAGGTAACTTTTCCTATTAATTAACTATTGATGTAACAATTTTAGTGTTCCATTACATTCAACAGAAAGAAGAATTCTGGATGTATTTATAATCACAATAACACATCCAAATTCATCACATGCAGCTGTAGCATCTGCCACAGCTACATATCGGGATATTGCTGATTTTCTAAATGTTTCTCCGAAGACACTATACATTCGATATCGAAAGGATTTCTTGAAAGTAATTATCTTTTAAATTGTTGCTTACAAATTATGATGTCTCGTTGCGTTATCAATTTATTTTGCAGCTTCTAATGAAACGTGCTGTTAGCAATTATATAAATTTCTCATATAATATGGCAACTACAGTACATCGCGTTGCTAAATGTATAGGCTATGAAGGATCACGTCAATTGCTGTCTAAAGATGGGCATTATGCGGTTTCCTTTCTGATCGCTATTATTGTTGAAGTGCCACAAGCAAATGTGCTTTTGCACGATATTGCCGAATTGATACGTATGGACATAAAGCAAATGCTTCAAGAATATTTTCCAGTATGTATTTAATGATTTAACTGGATTGAAATAATGCAATTTAATCGGTATACTGTATGTCTTTTTTCCTCTTTTTTTCAGTATATTTACAGTTATGCGTTCTTAGAAATGCCTCTCCGAATAACTACAGAATGTTTAAAACTTGTAACAAAAATAACAGAAACTAATCTTGGATTTCTTACAAAGCAGTCCTTTATGGTAAAAAATTTCAATTCTTGTTGTTAAATTCTCTCAGTTTTTATTGTTTAATATAAAAATATAATGAAATATATATGCTATATATACACACACAGGGTGTTTCATTTTAAGTGATATGGTCGATTATCTCGCGAATCGATGATTTTATTGAAAAATTTTTCGAACGAAAGTTGCATGGCTTGAAGGGAGGCACATGATGGAAATGTGGACTTGACCTTGAGTGACCTTGTCAAAATCAGGTCAAGGTTATTCAGGATCATGTCCTGAATAACATTTGTCAAGATCAAGGCCATTGGATCATATCTCTTATTTTCATTTTTACGTAAAAATGAATTTTTAGTGCAATATATAATTTTGCAGGGCATTTTTGAAGAACTTATGTTAAATTTTTATGAATCGCCTGAAAAAATAGTAGGTTTGTTAGAAATTATATTGGAATATGATACTACTCAGAGAGGAAAGTTTGATACGCGAGAACAAGTTGTAAGTGCTTTAATAATTACATTACAATTATTAATGTAACTATATTAAATGCATTATAATATATATACACAGGTGTCTTATTTGAATTTACGATTACATGGTATATTAGTGAATTTTGATATAAAGCTTGGTCCTAAATCAGATGAATATACGCAACAATCTGCACTTGCTTCACTAGTTGTTTTAATTCGTTACATGGGTGCTACTAGTTTGACTCCGCTTAGATACAAAATTTTAGCCACATTACGAACTTCACTTGGATTTAAAAGACCAGGCTTCTCACGCTTAGTCTGCGATGCATGGGATGCATTTATTCACAAGTAATTATATTAAACTAATATATGTGGAATGCTAATTATGTATTAAAATGATAATTCTTAAAATCTATTAAAATCTATTTCCAGTATAGCTATTGAAGACTTAGGACCACTATTTCCAACAATATGTGTATCGTTAATACCATTGCAAAAAATATTTCCAGAAAAAGTCAATAATATGTTAGAGTTTCTGATTGTTCAAAATAGTGGAGGAAACAACAATCACATTTCAGAATTATTTTTTATAGATGACATGAATGTTCCGATTCATATATCTGATATAGTCAAAGCACATATTTTACAAGCAAGGTAAATCACTTAATTTAATTAACATAAATTTACCTCGCATTTTACTTGCTTTCTTATGTATTTTATTTTTAAGATTTTAAAAATCTTCGGTTTTAGACCTGATGAATTTAATGCTAATTTAAAGTTATGGTTGAAACGGATTATGCACGAAACTGATGAAGTGCGAATTAGAGCTCTGAAACATTTGAAAATATTTTTGGCGGAGCATCGTAGTGAGCTTAATAAAATGATATTAAGTGAAACTGATGTCCATCCATTAATCGTTGAAGTATGTTTATTACATATTATTCAAATATATTGTGCATGCATACTACATTATTATCTATGTATCGTGTAATATATATTCATGTTATATTTTAAAGCTATTAGATACTCTACTGATTGGATGTCAAGATAAAGACGAATCTATTCGTTTATGTTATGGTGAATGTCTTGGAGAATTAGGAGCTATTGAACCGAGTCTTCTTCCGCGGAGAATTATTTCTAGAGGTACTAAGTTTTATATTTTTATCGCGATAAATATAATAATTCTTATCTTTCGTAAACTTTCTAAATTCACTTAAAATTCTTTTTATGTTATAGAGGATAGTAAATTTATATCAGATATAAATGAAGAGTTTGCGTGTGCATTACTTTCTGAACATGTGCGAGCTTTTCAAATGCAGAAGAACAGTCAAAGTATGGATTGTTTTTCACTTGCTATACAGGTATATAATTTCATATACACGTTATATGTGTGCATTTGCGATGAACAGAAAATCAATTCTGTTTATCAATGTGATTATTTTTTAGGAGATATTAAGAGCATATGATATTTCCCCGCAAGGTCGAAATAATGAATTGTGGAATAATTTACCGTCCACAACGCAACAGATTATTATCCCCTTCTTGACATCGCACTACAAGATAGTAACTATTAGCGATGACGATGAATTTTCGCATCCTATTTACGGGTAATCTTGATATGAAATTTCAAGCTACTATTATCTTACATTGATCGATAACTGATACAAAAATTTATAGTTCAGAAGCAGGTTCTTCAGTTGAAAACTGGGCTTATAACTGGCTTTGCAGCATGTCTAATGCTGTACGTGACACTACACTTAATAATGTATTACAGGCATGCAAATTAGCGTTTAAACGGGATATAAAAACGTTAATGTTTTGTCTACCATACATTGTGTGTAAGTTGGAATATTGATGTCTATTTAAATAATAATTATTTTAATATACATATATGTATATGCTGCTTTCAGCATATATAATCGCAAATAATGGAGAAGAACATGTTAAAATTAGAGAAGAAATGTTAGCTGTTATCAATGTTAGACAAAAGTCTGTACTAGATCCTGAACTTCTGCGTCACCGACCACTTCGATATGGACAGAGTGTAAAGGCTGATGACAAGAGAATTTCGGAAGAAACTAGACGTACACGCTGCTCGCGAGTTAGCATAAATTTTTTAATAATTTCATTTAATATTAAGTCTTGATATTGTCGTTAAATGTTTTCATATGATTGATACAGGTAATCTTTCATATATTGGATCATTTGCAAAGATGGCTCAGAGAACGAAGATTATTTCAAGACGATAGATACGAAGCTATAAAAGGTTTGTAATAAAAAATGTATTCTGTCATGTATTGCGTTAATTTATATGATTTGTATAAATCAGATGTAATATGACGTTTTTGTTGATATTTCTAGAATTCTGCGCTAGATTAGATACTTTGGTAGTGGCAGAGGGATGTTACCAATCACGGGAATACCACCGTGCACTAATGTATCTAGAGCAACACATGGCATCTAGTAATAAAAGTTTATCTGAATTAACAGAAAGTGGTTTACTCGCCGTATGTAATACATGGTATATTTTAACATCATATACATGACACATTTCTTTGTTCCACAATGTAGAATTTATCTATTGCAGAAAATTTATGCGCAACTCGATGAACCTGATGGAGTTTCTGGTATTCTGGCGACCCAAAATCAGTCTCCTACATTACAACAATTGGTTTTAGCTCACGAAGTCAATGGACAGCTTCAGGTATTATTAGATAAAGTAATTCTATTTTGAAACTATAATTTACTTTGCTAAATTACTCTTCGGATATTCATGAATTTTATTAGGACGCAGCTACATGTTACGAGAGACTCATGCAGACAAGAGACTCAAAGCACATGTACTTACAAGGTATTATTCAATGTTACCTTGGCTTAGATCAACCGTTCACTGCCAAACACATTACCGAGGGTCTATTAAGTAATAGGTAATACTTATTACAGTACAAATAAACATAAATAGTTAAACTATTTACAACCTGAAACATTTTTTTTCATATGACAAGACCAGAATTAGAGCCTCTCATAACCGAACGTGAGCTGTTTTGGAAACTTGCTCACTTTTCCCGATTTGATGAATCCTCACAAAAAAATATAAAACACGTACTATTAGATGATCTCATAAAGGAAACAAAACCTGATTTGCTCTCATTGAAGAAAAATTTAGTATCATTATTAGAAGATGCTTCTCGACCGGGAGCTTATCAACAGAGTTACTCGTACATTATGAAGTAAGTATTAATAATTCATATTCTCTCTAAATTATTAAAATATATTTATTATATCATTTTCAGATTACATATATTAAATGAATTTGATAAAGCAACTTCAATGATGTTGAACAACGCAGAAAATCTCCCATCAATATTAGAAGAATGGGAGAAACGTGGACAATTGTTGAGAGCATCTCGCGGTGTAGAATTTGTTCTGAGTATGCGCAGAGCTACTTTAGATTTAGCTGTACAGCTACAACGAAAGACTCAAAATACAGAAAATTTAATGCTTAAGCAAGAAATTGGTAAAATCTGGTTAAAGAGTGCCAAAATTGCTAGAAAGTACGTATGACATCGCTTTTTCCATATTTAGTAATTTTTGTATTAAACGAATTGTTTTATTCAGGACTGGTTTGCACCAACAAGCGTATATGCACATTTTATCAGCCAATGATTGGTGTCCACCACAGCCATTGTATCTAGAACAAGCTCAATTATATTGGCAAAAGGGTTGTCAAGAAGATGCTTTTACTACTTTAAATCGTTGTTTCTCAAATTGTTTTCAACCAGCACAATATTACAAACAATTACCTTCAGGAGACTGTAACGAAGAAAGAAGATATTGTGCAAAGGTCTATAATGCTTCTAGATGAAACTTATTGAGATACTATCAGAAAGTAATTATAGTTATTTCATATTTTTTTTAGGCAAAGCTTCTTTTTGCCAAATACAATGATGAAACTCTTAATGTTGATACAGATGGTTGTATCCTTAATTATAAAGAAGCAATTGAAGTATGGAGATGCTGGGAAAAAAGTTGGGTATCGTGTGCTCAGTATTATGATACTATTGTTGAGAGAATGTCTGAAGATGACAAAGATAGAAATAAACGGTAAGTTCGCGCTTTGATGCAATTTAATTTTATCGTAATATGATTGAAATTATAATATTTATCATTAATATTTTAGAGATCTGCAAATACATATGATGAACTTTTATGGCAAATCGCTTCAATATGGCTGCAAATATATTCATCATTCAATGCCTAAGATGTTGACCATTTGGTTAGATAACGCTTCTCGTGCTACGATTATGTCCGATCCACCAGATATTATTAAACTTCGTCAAGATCGTCTGTCAAAGATGACTCAGATCATGGGTATCTATTTTAATTAAATAAAAGATTTATAACTAAACAGTTTATTTATATCATTAAATAAAGAATGTGAATTGATTTTCACATTTCAGAAGTTTATCATCATAGATTACCGACGTTCATGTGGCTGACAGCATTCAGTCAACTTGTATCAAGAATTTGTCATCCATCTCTGCTAGTACAAAATACTCTTTGCACGATTTTAGTCAAATTAATTTCAGCATATCCGCAACATTGTTTATGGATGATGGCATCAGTTTTTAATGTATATGTTATTAATTAATATGAACATAGTTTTTATATGATTGACATTTTTATATGATTGACAAAATCTAACGAATACTTTGTTTATTTTGCAGTCTTCATATCCAACGCGACAAAAACGATGTCAAGAAATCTTAAATCATGCGCAATTGAAAACGCTAGACATGGTTAAACTTATTAGAGATTTCCACAAACTTTGGGAAAGACTGATCGAATTATCCAATAAAGCTATACCAGAAGTAAGTTATTCAACTGTAATATCAGTAAAATTAATCATAGTGGAAAAATATGTGATGTATCAAAAATTGAAAAATAATATATGCGTTTAAATGTATACAGAGTGTATACAGACCGTTTCCAGACTTTTGATTCACCCTATATATCATAAATAATAAAATTCTTCTGATTTTGTACAGGGAATATTAAATACCACTGTGACTCATTTGTCAAAAAATTTGCTAAGGTTATTTGTAAGTAAAGATTTTAGCTTAATCATGATGCCAACAACGAAATTCAGACAACTACATCTTCCATCCAAGAACGCTTCAATTGAAAATCACAATCCATTCTTATTGTACGTATTTTATTTGTTATTTAAACAATATTCTCTTTTCTTGTAACAGTGCAATATATTTTGTTATGCTTGTAATATAGGAGATGGGTACATATAACAAAAATAGAAGAAAGCGTGGTAATAATGCCTTCACTTCAACGTCCCCGACGAATCGCGCTGAGAGGATCAGATGGTAAAGAATATCTTTTTATGTGTAAGCCGAAAGATGATTTACGTAGAGACTTCAGATTGATGGAATTTAATGATATTGTGAATAAGTATCTTCAAAATGATCCAGAATCACGACAAAGGAGACTTTATATACGCACATATGTAAGACTCATTAGTGATACATTTTGTTTAGATTTGATTTCAATAAATTGTCAACTATCCTTGATTTACAGAGCGTAGTGCCTTTGAACGAGGAATGCGGTTTAATAGAATGGGTACCAAATCTGGTTGGTTTTCGACCTACTATCATGAATCTCTATAAAGAAAGAGGCATTGCACCTACAAATAAGGAACTTAAAACAATGATATGTGGTAAGCTACAATATGATTATGAATGATTAGGAATGTTCAAACGTAAAAAAATTATTTTATCTCATTTCTAAATCTTTTCATTAGCATTAAGAGATCCAGTAGAAAAGAAGAGACAAATGTTTCTAGAGAAGTTATTACCACGACATCCTCCTATATTCGGGGATTGGTTTCGCATTACGTTTCCTGATTCATATGGATGGTATATGCTAATAAAATACACTTTGCATATATTTTTTGTAATTTTATATATGTATAGATATCAATTATCTAACTTTTGAAAAAGGTATGAAGCTCGCACGGCATATATTAGAACAACTGCTGTCATGTCCATGGTGGGATACATACTTGGGCTTGGTGATCGCCATGGAGAAAATATATTATTCGATTCTAAATGTGGAGATTGCGTACATGTTGATTTCAACTGTTTATTTAACAGGGTAAATCTTGTACTTAGAAATTAAATATTAGAAATTTGAAAAACAAATTTCTTTTTCAATTTAAAATTATAAATCTCATATCCTAATTAATGTATATACCTATAATTCTTAGGGTGAATATTTTGATTGGCCTGAACGAGTACCATTTCGCTTGACACATAATATGGTGGACGCTATGGGTCCTTTAAAAATTGAAGGACCATTTAGACGCGCCTCCCAAATTACTATGCGAGTGCTTCGGCAAGAATCGAGTACATTGTTGAGCGTACTCACACCTTTCGTCTACGATCCACTCGTCAGTTGGACTAAGAATCAGCCTGGTGATGCAGCTGAAAAAACAAATGAAAAAGTATAACGCAAATACATCCTTTTATATTAAATTATGCAAGAAAGGATACAAGAATAATCCATTTAATTTTTTTAGGCTGTAGAACATATAAAAAATATTGAGCAACGATTGAAAGGCTTGATACGATATGCTGGAAGAAAGGTAGAAAATATCGCGTTACATCTTAGTGTCGAAGGACAAACTAATCATTTAATTTTAGAAGCGACAAATACAGATAATCTGTGCCAAATGTATTTTGGTTGGGGTGCATATTTGTAACAAATATTGCCGAAATATTACAGGATAAAATCTCGCATATATGGATATTAATAGACAGTAATGTATGAATCATATTTGTCAGAGCTTTTACACACAATTTTCAAGTGTTGTATTTATTTTTTTTCAGTATTATATTTCTTAATTACACATTACGATTTTATTCAATTATAATTTGACACTAGTTTCATCCGAGCCAAAACTTCGGAGCAACATGAAGTATGAGGCAGCCGTGCTCAACACCTATAAATATTAGAATTAGAATATTTTTTATGATATATATATATATATATTATAGGAATCCCAAATTTTTTATACATTTTATGATACAAGAAGTGATAATTTCTTACTGCATTAAAATTCTCCAGATGCATTACGTAAAATTTTCCTGCAGTTATTTTACTTGGTTTTTGACTACGCAACATGAGCAAACATATCTCGGTTTTGAATAAAACCGGTAATTCATACCAAGCAATTGTATATACAGTTTTGTAGATCATGGAACTCTATAATATAATATATAATATAAACATGTATGTGTGTGTACATATATACCGGGTGTTTCAGGCCAACCGTACACCCCGTTTAAAAACGAGGGAAGTGGTTATTTTGAAAAATGTTTCAGACAAAGTTGTTGGGGATCAGATAATGCATTACATGTGCGTATGCGATTGACTTTGGGTGGCGTTGTAAAGGTCATGTCAAAGTCGATTTGAATTTTTTAAATGAGAATCTATATCTTTTATTACGTATTCTTGTAGTTCCTTTCAAGGCGTTTTCAAAACACTGGTTACAAACCCTTTTTAGTTGAGATCTTCCTGCATTATGAGACTTCAAAATTTTAGTATCGACGTTAGGATTACTTAAGCTGTACCACGTGAAGATCGCACTCTTCGGAGTGCTCGATTAAAGTTTCCGATCGTGCGACCTCCACGCAGTACATCTTGGATAATGCTAATGCCAGCGATACTGAAATGTTGAAGTCTCATAACTCAGGAAGATCTCAACTAAAAAGGATTTGTAATCAGTGTTTCGAAAACGTCTTGATAGCAGCTACAAGAATATACAATAAAAGATATGGGTTCCCATTTAAAAAATTCAAATCGACCTTGACATGACCTTTACGACGCCACCCAAGGTCAATCGCATACGTAATACATTACTTGGTCCCCAACAACTTCATCTGAAACATTTTTCAAAATAACCACTTTCCTCGTTTTTAAATTGGGTGTATGAGTAAGTCTGAAACATCAAGTAAATATACAGTTTCCCATAACTCTTAATTAATATTTCTGGGAGTGAAAGAGGGTGAAATTTTGAACTAAAAGCTCCTTTCCCAGTTTTGCCTCAGACCATTATTTATCGAGTTATTAACGATTAAAATGAGATGCTAATTTTATTTTACCTCATATATCAAAGCATCACCAGGTATGCAAAAGAGCAGCAATTGAAAAAGTGCCATGATTAAATATGAGATGTATTTAATCGACTTGGAGATTGTACTTGCAGTTATGTTTGCGGTCGCAATTTGAAAACCTACTAGACATATTATGAGACTGCTAGCTAATGTTTGCAGAAATAACATTGGGCTAAAAACTGTTTCCATATAATCGCAAAACCTAGATACAAAATTTCGATATTTTTCATGTGTGTTTGTATATATGTATACATATTACAAATATATATTTAAAATTATTACCAGAGAATTGTGTAATGATGTTTAATAATGTCTATTATATGCAATTTAATTTTTTGCATAGTATTTTCTTCGAGATATGTATGTTGTACCTGAATAAAAAAAATTAATGTTTACAAGAATAGCATCCAAAACAAAATTAATTTAATAATAATACGCTAAAATATGAGTCTTCTCAAATAAATACTAACGAAATCAATTTGCAAAGTGTTAATATCTTTAATTTTTTTTTTAAGTACTTTGAAATGGCCACATGTGTGAAACAACGCTGTTGCAATTAAAGTATCAGTTCCCAGAATAATAAGGCCACATAAGCTTGTCGCTACCATTTGCGAGAGATAAGTAATCTACGTAAATGAGAATATGTACGAATATTACAATCACATTAACAATTTTGACAAGCCCTTGAAAATAAGGATCTTACCTCATACATTGGAAAATAATAATAATATTCTGGATACAGAGCTAAAAACGGAAAATGCTTTATAGTATTATTGTTAGTGCCTTTAACCACAGCAATAACTATTTCAATTATAGGTAGACTAAAGAAAAACATTAAAGAATTACAAATCAAAAATAAATATCCTTTAGTATATAAATATCCTTTCTTCACGTATCTGTAAGTGAGTAACATAATGAAGTATATGTGAATCCGTAGATGCACTTATGCATTTGTAATTAAAAAAAAAAACATTTATTTACATTGCATATACATCTGTATGTTTCTCCGCAATACGTGTTGTCAATATATTCCAATAATCGGTTAACATATATTTAATGAAAGGATCCATTTTTCTTTTATTGCTCATCCAAACTAACGATTTCAATATAGCAAGTAAAATAGTGAGCAATACTGAACTATAAAAATAAAAGAAATAGAATTATTTGAATTTTTCTTAAAACGTAATAAAATTGTAATATGACCACCCGCTTTATGTCAATGCCAGGAATTTGTGGTCATATACCTCGTTTCCAAAACAGTAGACAGATCTTGCCAATTTTGATAAATTTGCAGTCCTTGCGGTATAACAATGGCAATCATACACGTACAACATATGATGTATCTCACGATATTCGTTGGATAAAGGCCGACAAATTTTAAAACCTTTCTGTTAATAAATACGTATTTATTGATATCCATGTTAGTTTCATTAAAAGGATATATAATAAAAAATGATATTTTGGAAGAGATTAACAAGCACGAACTTTACATGCATCAGATCTATGCTGATAAATGGATATAGAGACCATATGCAAGACAAATCTACGAACAAATGTTATAAATTTTTCGATATTTCAAAATGTATTATTAGTCTTGAATAATTAACATTCTATGTATTTTTAATTAAATTTTCTTAATAATTTTACACAAACAATTAGTAGACGTTACCGACTAACGAATCCCAATTAGTAAACTGTACTGTATTAAAACATCTATCTAGAGACAAATATGAAATATAGGCTTTATAACTGTCTATTTATTAATATTTCATACTTAATGAAGCTAAGTTGAACTAGGTAATTTGTAAGATCCAACGTCTATCATTATTGAAGACAAAGTGTTTAAGACCTTCCCTTCAATTTGTTTCCTCTCTTAGCAAACGATGTGCTATTTCCTTGGTTAACTACTAATAAGGCATTTGAAGAGACAGATGGTTTCCTTTGTTACTTTCATACCTTATACTTATTTATTATTTCCACAAAATACATGTATATGTCACAAAGGATAATTATAGCTTCCGGATGAACGTATACTCCATCTCGCTCTCGTAGCGACATTTGCTACAAGTGGGGTTGGATACTTACAACTCCAATATGATGCATATAACACTATTGGTAGTGAAACGAGACCGAGGACATTGTGTAAATGCGAGGACGTGTGAAATCGAAAAAACAACAAATTTATTTCCATGACAATTTGCTATGGCATGTGAGTTTCTTTATAAAAAAATCTTATTATAATTTACAAAATTTCGTCATTTGTGCACGCAGCACATATCAATAATAAATAAAGATCGATTTTCCTATATGTGTATGTGTGTGTGTATATGTGTGTGTCATCTTTATGATAATATAGAACAATGTGTAATTTACAGTTAGAATACGCTTATCCATGTATACTAGCAGATTTTTAATTCCATACCGTCACGAGTATATTTGTCATCATGATACATTATAAAAAGTGCTTTAGTCTAACGTGCTTTATGCATCATAATTTGTATTAAATAATACAAATTAATATTGTAGAATGCAGAGTTTCCTCTTTCAAAAGTTGTACTCACTCTCCGTACGATGTTTATACAAACACTGACACTAATACGATGAAAACATACGAGGAGCTATCATGTTTTAAGGACATTTCCTTTCTACTTGACTTTTTCCGCTTTCTTCATATTCCTGACTGGAGATCCACATTTGTTGGAAAGTACCAATCGACGCTAATATCGAACCGCCAATCCATGCTCCAAATCTTCTTTCCGCGCATCCGTTTGCACTGATCAATTTAAGACGCATGCTGGACGGTATTCTCATGGATAAATCTCTATTCAAACGTTCCGGGAAACCCTACAAATGCATAGTAATTTGTCAATATATGCAAGAAGGAAAACATTTGCTTAATTAAGTAAAACTTCAGAAAAGGAGCGACCTCACAGATTTCAATGACCTTGACATAGGTTGTCAAGGTCATGATCCTGAATCACCTCCAACAAATTTTAACTGTCGCTCATCCTTCGTTAAAAAGTTATTAACAAAAAAAGTTCAACTATACAATACGAGAATTCCCTGCTTTAAAATATGTTTGATAGTCGTGCACTGTAGGGGACGCCGCGCCGACGACCGCAACTTTAATATATGTCGTCAAGGTCATGACCCTGAAAGACCTCCAACAAGTTTTAGGTGGCTTTCACCCTCGACTCTCACCCCCTCCCCCTGCAAAGGGGTGCACGACTTTCACCCCTGTTTGTTGAAATTATCTATTTTATCTTTTTATTATATCATTTTTTAAGTTAGCTCTTTTTCTCATATAATTTTTATTTATAAAACAGAAAATTTGTATCTTTAAAATAAAGAATTTGTGTTACAAGAAAGAGAATTTGTATTATATTTTAAAAAGAAATGAAAAATTAAACATACTTTTAATTTAAATTTTATTTGTTAATAACTTTTTAATGAAGGACGAGCGACAGTTAAAATTTGTTGGAGGTGACTCAGGGTCATGGCCATGACAACATATGTCAAGGTCATTTAAATCGGTGAAGTCGCCCCTTTTCTGAAGTTTTATCCTTAGTTAATTTTCGATCTATTAAAATTCTACCTGAATAAACGAGTTGCCACCAGTTACTACAACACTTCCATACAACGCTGGTCGTACATCAACGTCGCACATGCCAACACTGGTTGTGACGATATGTCCTACTCCTAACATAGTATTACCAACCATACCTCCACGCATTTGTACTATACTAGGATCAAATAATGCCTCTGGTATTCGAAATCTTTCACTTCCAAAATCCTTAAAATAATTATTTCTTATTATCTTATTCTGAAGTTTATGTGTATATAAAGTATAGACATTATATAAAACATATACCTGATGATAGCCGATCGGGAATTCATACTGAACTGCAGGAATCGTAGAAACGATCTTGTCATCATACGGTGTTTCCGATACCTGAAGAACTGTGGCTTGGAAATCCTGAACCACCTTCTTTACCATATAATTATGCCAAGACTTGGTAACTTCAGGTAAACCTTTCTTTTTAATCCATCGTGGTTTATCATGGTCTTTAACTACTTCTTTGCTACCCACCATATAAGGAGGTGACAAGTCGATATCGTTATCCTACATTTATTTAAAAAAAATACATGAGGCTAACAGACTGGGAAAGCACATTAATAAACATAAGTAATATTTGCATACTTGCAAAAACTGTCT